AGATTGTAGTTGTGATAGTCTCTATTCAGTGTGTTCTGCACATTTGTTTTGATTAGGTGGTTTTGTATTTTGTACATAAGTTTTGCCTGTTCAAACATCTTTAACTGATCAATTTTTAGGTAGGGATATTGCCTGTATAGTGTTTCACTAGGTGTATAACAGTGCCTAGAGAATATTGTTTTTATTGATATGTTTTGCAGTCTTTGTAGCTGTTTTAACTGTTTTAGGGTAGCATTTCCATAGCATGGAATCATATACCTGAAGTGTGGCTCGATGAAACTATTATAGATCAAATATTTTGAGTTTTCATTTAACATATGTCTACACCTCCTCACAGCTCCCAAGAATGGATTTTTGCATGAATACTTCCAATGTGAGCTCCCCATGTCAGTTTGTCTGTTATTATAAGACTGTCTTTTCAACATTTATACTGAGTTTATTGTAGGAGAGCCAATCAAAATAGCGTACTAGATCTTTATTCACAATATTGCAATATCAGCATCCTTGCTGTATATATCTTTCCATCTCTATCCATTACTCGATTTATATTCATTTTCCTATCAGTTCTAGTACAAAGACCATTCAGTACTGCCCACGTTTTCTTGGAATTTCCCTGAGCTTCGTTCAACTTCTTTTTCGCATACTCTTTTTGTAATTTAATTCTAAGCCTAATAAGTTTATTTTTCGAATCTTCAAATCTTTTCTCAGTGTGTTCGTTTTGTATCCTTTTCCATCTCACATATAGTTCGTCCCGTTCTTTTAATTTTTCAATATATGCATTTGTAACCAACCAATTATCATTTCTCACTTTTATCGTGGTCTGCTTAGTACATTCTTTTTTTGTATTGTTTATAAGAGCTGCCAGTGTCTCAAATTTATTATTCTCATCTATGTTTTCCTGTACCCTAATTTTCCATTTTCTGGTGTCCAGTGTATTTTTTGTAATTTTTTGTTTCAACTAAGATTTTTTTGACCTCCAAAAATATGATTCTATGGTCAGAAATATTGTGATCTTCTATTTTCATATTACATTGTATATTTCTATTAGTTATTATATGATCAAGTATGGTGGCTGTGTTTGCTGTTGTTCTTGTAGCCTTTTGACGACTGATTATATTTTGAATTTTGTATCCATTCATCTCCACCATATTTTTATATCTGGTTACTACCTGTGATTTTCTCAGGAGTTAATGTCACCAATAAATATACAGGGATTTATTATATTTTCGAACAGTTTGTCCACTTCTTGTATAAATAATTTGCTTTTGTTTTCTGGAGGTCTATATACATCAAAGACTGTCATAGGTTGCTATGGTAAATATACAGAGACCATGCTACAATTTGTCATACATGTTGTTGGTTTGCTGTTCAAAACGTATGTTATTCCATTTTTCACATGAATACTTGCGCCTCCCCCCCTAGTAGTTCTACACTCATGTACAGCAGTATATAGGATGGTATGTTGAAATAGTCTTTTTCCCCAGGGTAGATCCATGTCTCGTAAGCACAATTATGGGTATCACTTTTTGACTTTGTAGTACCATGTCATTGAGATCACTTATTTTGTTTCGTATGCTTCTAATATTGGCATACAAGATAGTAAGGTTTTCAGTTACTACCATTTTGACATTTGCTCTTTTTTATTTATTTTCTTTTCAAAGAAAAACACCCAGTCTTCCTCCACAAGTATATCTTTATTGGAATCAAAAAGCCCTACCAGTTTCGAAACTAGAAAGATTCATCTTCAGGGGCAAAAATATAATTTAAATCAGCTCTGAAATAATAGCAATAACAAAAGAAGGGATCTGAAAACAAGGAGCAGATAACTACACTGAACAGAGTACCAGAAGGAATACAATATACCTTAACCTAGAAACGATATGATATAATATAATAATATGAATATAATAAAATTTCATCCTAAAAATTCAATGAATTGAAGAAAGAAGTGGAGTTATGGTGAATTTGATTATTGAGGCATAAGACATCACTATTTTTAAAGGCATAATTGATTTCAAACACTTCGTAAAGATCCAACAATAAGCCCTTCTCCAGAAAATGAAGGAATTTAGTATTATTTTCAGGGTTGAAGTTATGTTTATTTAAGACTATGTGTCTAGCAAAATTAGATTTAAATCTTTCAGGCCTTTATCAATGGCCTTGTTGACTTCAGCCATGTGTTCTTTAATTGTAACAGAAAAGCTTCTTCCTGTTTGACCTATGTATTGGGCATTAGCTAATGGACAAGTCAAGCAATAGACAAGACACCAGATCTCTCTATGAAGGGTATTGGATCCTTGGAATTAACAACAAACGTACGTAAAGAGTAACTCCAAAATCATGCTGCCTAAGTAGGTTTTTAATTTTTAGGGAGAGGAAGCCTAAGTAAGGTAAAGAAACAAACTTTTGATCGTCAGATGAAACAGTAAGGAGGTTGAAATTCAGAAATCTGTTCATATGTTTGAAGTAAATTTTATTGACCTTATTCCTACCACTAGCAAATTGCCCTTCTTTCTTCTTTTTGTTCTAATTCGTTCAGTTTATCTTCCATGTCTGCAACTCTGCCCTTTAGCTCTTCATTTTCTTTTTTTATTATCTTCATCTCGCCTATCATATCATCGATCTTTTTCTGCTGCTCTTCAAAAATATTTAACATAAACTGCATCGAATCCTTTAGTTCCCTGAATTCCTTTTGTATTTTATCTTCAAAAAGATCGAGATGTTGGATTTTGGATGAACATTTTTCCAAGTACTTCTTTTAGGTCTTTTTCGTTCATCTTGCTGCCGGCGCTGCTAACTTCACCTTTTTCTACACGCGAGTCACAACAAATCAATGTGTTTGCATTATTTACTGCACCCACGCGTTTTCCACAACTAGGATGGTAGCTTAGTTGGCAAATATCATAAGTCAACGCAAAAGTAACTTTTTTTTTACAATACGTCTGTTCCAACACAGCAGAAAACCGTACAATGTACCGTCACGATTCTGCGCAAAGCGTAAAATTTGTGCGTAGAAACGAAAATTCGTCCACTGAGTGGTTTCGAAACCGTCCATGGGATGGTTTTTAACGTGTTGGAACAGACCTAATATTCGCACTTTTTTTTGAGGACTTCCAAAATTTGGTTTGTTTAATTAGACATAACCTCTTTCTATATATATATATAAGATATTAAAGTACCTATATCTTCATGTGCGATATTTGAGGTTTTGAAAATTATTCAAAATACCTATAAATTTGATAGATAATCTACATATAAATTGCTAACTTTTATATGCCTAGACAATGGAGAAACCCGAATTCACAATCACGGGATATTGGCGCGAATTGGAGACCGTTTTCGAGCTTGTTAGCTCTCGTTAGTGCAACAGAAGCGAAAGCACGTTAACTCAGAGAAACAGGTTTAAAGAAGATTCAAGAAAGATATAAACCTTTAATAGCGCGTGGCAAAGATTGGTACCTAACAAGAGATGCCACCTTTGAGATATTATATAGGGTGGTCCAAAAAAAAACCGGAATTTGGTTTTTGAGCTGTAACTTTTTTATTTGTTGACCAATTTTCTTTTGTTTTGGCTTGTTTGAAAGAGAAATGAACAGACTAACGAATCAGGGTAAAACTTTTGACATTTGAAAAAAATCCAAAATGGCGGACTCCTTCAAAAATTGCCTAGTTTTGGATAGCGCTGGAACTTTTTTGGGACATCCTGTATAAGTTTTTTTAATAAATTCTTAAAATTCATCATTTTGCGAACATTTTAAGACCTCGACAGAAAAGATCGGTTGAAAACTAAGTGAAATATTGATTTTTTTGTAATATCGAATTTCAATTTTTTATATTGACAGCAAAATCTAGGATATGCTATTTCAGCTACATTTTTTTTTTCTATTCGACACATTTCTTCTATTTCGGGCTTGTTCGAAAGATAAATGGATAGGATAAGGATTCGAAATGAAGATTTTGACTATTGAGAAAAAATTAAAGATTTCCCAGTTCCTTAAACATAGCCAATTTTAAAAAAGTTAACAATCCAAAACTAGGCAATTTTTGAACGAGTCCGCCATTTTGGATTTTTTTCAAATGTTAAAAGTTTTGGACCACCCTATATAATAATGCTTTATTGTCAGACAAAAATTTAACAAAATTTGTTGACAAAGCCTTAAATTAGCTAAGACGCGACGCCGAAGAGAATGTGTTGGGGTAGATATCGTATTTCCTTTTCCTACAAGAGAGTCAGGAACCTCAAGGTTGTTATGGATTATTTTTCAAAGTGGACAGAAGTAGTTTCAATCCCCAATCAAGAACCAGTAGAGAAGTCGTTCCTCTTCATCCACAGTCCGACGAAATGGCCGAGACCCACAATTGCAACCATACCCTCGATATTTGTGGATGAACATCAGCGAGACTGGGATCAACTGGTACCTCTTCTCCTTTTGGCTTAGGTATAAAAGCTTTAAGCCCCACCGGCTATATATCATCAATGCTATTGACTGGATGAGAAGTAAAGCTTCCCGTAGATCTAATTTTGGGCAGAATGGCCGATGAAAACGAAGCTCTACTTCTTATGTGGCAGTCATTGAACACCTTCAATGAAGGGCTCGCCGTCTGGTTTTATTAGCAAAGAAACTCACAGAGAAGACGACCATACAAAAACATCAAGAATATTAAGGGTGTACATGCTTTAACCTACCAGGGGCTCTAGCGAATGAGGAAGTGTTATGAAATACAAGTTAAGCCCGTATGTGGTTCTTGTTGATCGACCCCTGTATGCCCGAATAATCGGATTTCCGAAACTGGAGTTTGGCTCCGAAGGAATAATCTAGCCGGCGAATTATCGATCTGCGTTACCAGAGTAGCAAATTCTCTGGACATTTAGCGAATATTTTGAAACGGTATAAGCAGACCGTGATGTTGATGTTAAAGAGGTTTTGAACTGAATAGTAAGGCGATCAGGTATAGTTTCCCGACCAAGTAACAATAGGTTCAATAGAATATTCACTTACCTATTTCGATATTTTAGGCTGGATTCCACCCAAAATGTCTGCTGTAATTTTACTTGTCAATATCGCAATATCTCTTGGAATTGGTCGCCTCGGACTGAGTTCACATGTGTTTGAACTGGAAAAAAAAATTAAATTATGAAATGTGTAAATGATGTTAAAGATGCCTTTTTATTTTCCTTGCTAGGTATTAAGGCATGTAAAAACTAGTTTCTAGGGAGAAAATTTCCTATTATTGGGTCCAACTGGGACTGAAACGCTTTTTTTTTTTCAGAAATACCTAATTACCTTGGCCACTACTTAGTCATGTAAATTTTTGGTGTACTACAGTCTATAATTATTATTTACTAGTGTTTGTTTTGAGTAGTCTAGTTTGTTGCTATTGTCAGCAGATTGATATTTCAATCAGCTCGTTCACAGAATAATAGTCGAGATAACGGTATAATGAAAAAAAGTGAGGTCTCTATGTTCGAATGTGCTAGAGTCCTGTGCCGTGCCAGGCTCTCTGAGTTTAGAGTATTATCCTATCTTCTCTCTGCGTCTCATTATTCTACTTTACTGGAGTTCTTGGCTTCTGCTCCCCAACACGACAATTTAAACGTTTACGGAAAACCAAGTTTCTGGGCAGCGACTTTTACAGCTCTTTTTTTTTTCATTTTAATACCTTAACCCATAAATGATAGTGCCTTGTTTGCGAATTGCGGATAAGACTATAACCATTCTGATGCCCGCCCCAAATTCAGACACCACAGGTTTGGATGAATGCGGATCCTCCATCACGTTTATTGTTGTTGTTGTTGATGATCACGTTACCGCGCGTAGACTGTCAGAAGTGAGGTAAGGAATAGACGAACTACCTATCAAGCTCTCTACAAAACCATCAAACGACTGGAGCTTCTCCTAAGTCGTCAAGCACACTGTTTCTACGGACTTTTCACGCAACAAAAAAAAGCGACCTTTTTATAGTAATAATCTTTCGTTCTGAACGAAATGAACAAGTGAATCTGAATTAACTAAATCTGAACAGAGCAATCACTTCAGTTTCCCTTTAGTTGTGTCCAGTTGTTACAAAAGAAGACGTTTGTTTTTATTCTTCGTGAATAAACGAAGTGATCGGCCATCCGAGGTTGTGCTTGAGGGGAAAGGGGGCAGCAAACATCCATTCACTTTATTCAGTTTAGAAGGTGAAGTCGGGGAGCTGACCAGAAATGAAAGAAGAAGCCACAAGTGAACGCAATCAGATAAAGTGAAAGCAGTCGGTTTGTTCAGAACGAAAGAATACATTTTTTTTTTTTAAAGAACTTTATTTCTGACCTTTAAACAGATGTAATAACTGATACCAAGGCCTAAGTCTTAACATATTTTACAAATATAAGGTTTTCTTTAGGTGACGACAGATTAATACTTAAATCTAAAATACTTCAATCATGTGACATTTTATGTGTAACATGTAGGTTTGATTTGATTTAGTGAAGAGTGAATATAAGAAATATATTGTATATAAATATTTTTTTGTTTTTTTTTTGTTTTTAAGAATTTTTTAAGTAGTTTTTTAGGTGTATAGAGAGTCTTTTCACATTTGCAGCATTTGTTAGTTGTTCGGGCAGCAGGTTGTAGGCTTGAATGCTTCGGAAGACTGGGGAGTCCTGCGCTTTCTTAGTCCTGGCATAATGATTTCGAAAATTTTGTTTCCTCCTTATATTATGTGGGTGCAATTCGTTTACTTTTTTAATTTTTGAGTTTGATTTCATGTTGTTGTGGTTAATATTGTATATAAGTTTGGTTTGTTCCAGAATTTAGATTTTCTGGACATTCAGTATTTGTGTTTGTTTATATATGTTTTCTGTTGGAGTATAGAAATTCAAATTAAAAATTGTTTTAATAGCTTTGTCTTGTGTCCTTTGTAGCTTATTGACTATATAATTTCCAGCATTTCCCCAGCATGGTATTAAATACCTTATGTGCGGTTCGATAAAGCTATTGTACAACATAGTTCTGGATTTTTGGTTTAAACATCTTTTACACCTTTCGATTTGTCCTATCATTGGAGCGAGCTTTGATATTACACTCTGTATATGTGCATACCAAGTGAGATTACTATCTATTCGAAGTCCTAAGTATTTATATTCGTTTACATTTATCAACTTGGCATTTTTCAGATATAGGTTTAATGTACCACTAACTTTATTCTTTTGCTTGAATATCATGTATCATGTTTTTTTCGGTGTTCACAGTTAGTTTGTTTTTACACAGCCAATTATAGTATTTCTGCAAGTCTCGATTTATCATTGTTTCTAAATTACTGAGGTTATCATTTGAATACAAAAGAGCTGTGTCGTCGGCAAACATAAAGTATCGAGCGGTTAGCTCGGCATACTTCAAGTTGTGCACATATAGCAGGTATTCCAGTGGACCAAGGAACGATCCTTGTGGCACCCCTATATTTACTGTTGTCTTAGAGCTTGCTTTTCCATTTATAAGTGTATAGTGTTGTCTATCGCTGGAGTAAGATTGCAGAAGCTTGTAGGCATCTCCTCGTATACCCATCTTATATAGTTTCTCCATCATTATATTGATGTCCACAGTATCGAAAGCTTTCCTCAAGTCGACAAACACCACAGCTACATATTTGTTTTGGTCTAATTCGGTCGTAATATGCTCTAGAAAATCCACTGTTGCACCCAGTGTGCTACTTTTGGGTTGAAAGCCATACTGAAACTTGTCAAATCCAAACTTGCTCTCTACAAAATTCACCAATCTGTGCTTTATTGTTTTTTCAACAATTTTTGCAAAGGTATTCAGGATGGAAATTGGTCGGTAATTGTTCAGGTCAGAGTGATTTCCACCTTTGTAGATTGGGATAATTTTTGCTGTTTTAAGTTCTTGCGGAAATATTCCAGTACATAACACATTGTTTATAAGTGAGACCATTTTGCCACCAATAATGTCAAATATTTGCAGGATGTCATTTTTTGTTATGTTGTCTTCGCCTGGTGCAGATTGTGTTTTAAGGTCTTGCAGAATTTTTTGGATTTCCAGAATGTTTGTTGGGTTTAGAAAGATAGTATCTAGAACATTTTCATCTTTCGACTGATTTTCGTCTATATCTGGTATTTGATTTGCTAGTTCTTCCCCAATTCTAGCGAAGTGACTTTGTTTCCTCTAAAATTTCTACAGGGTTCTCTATTAGGTATCCGTCTTTGGTAATTACTTTGTTTATAATGTTTTTTTTTTCTTATTTGTCCTAGAACACAACTCATTTAGGATCTTCCATGTCTTTTTGTTGTCTCCAGTAGCATTTTTTAGTCGTTTTTCGGTGTACTCCTTTTTCAGATAGTTTCTAAGGTTATTCACATCATTTTTGCTCTTTTTGAAATTTCTCTCTGTATCTTCATTTGGATTTCGCTTCCACCTAACATATAGTTTGTCTCTTTATTTTACCTTTTGTGTGTATTTGTGACTCACCCAGTACTGTTCGTTTATAATTTTTATTTTATGCTCTGTTGTAGCTTCATTTCTTGTAGCATTTACGATATATGTGAGAACTTTAAAGGTTTTAATCTCTTCAGAGGTAAATTCTTTTGCCAGAAGTTCTCTCCATTTCTGTAAATTTACTCTCTTTCTGATAACTGTTTCTTTTTTCCAATTTATTTTAGTGTCGATAATTAGTTTTATATTCAATATTTTGTGGTCTGAGACTATGTGGTCTTCAGTAAGTATCTCACATTGTAAGTTTTTGTTTGTGATAACATGATCTAAAATACTTTCACGGGTATTTCCTATTCTAGTTGGCTCATTCAGGTTATTTTGTATAGAAAATGCATTCATCTCAATGATGTTTGTGTATTCTAAAATGGTGGGCGTTTTTTGTGATATATCCAAGTTTAAATCTCCTACTAGTAGGCACTTTATGTTTCCATTTTCCGTTATTTTGTCAACTAAATCCAAAAAGGCGGTACTGTTACTCGAGGGTGGTCTATATAGGGCACATATGGAACATTTTATGGTCTTCAAGTAAATTTCAACAATATTCACATACATTGACTCTCGTTCGATTCTGTTTTCCACTGTATATTCCAAATTATTTCTAATGTAAATGCTTACGCCTCCTCCTCTTGTGTCGTCTACAGTCGTGTATTGATTCATATTCCGGTAAGTTAAAATTGTCTATTTCTTCATGATATAAACATGTTTCGGTAAGTATAACAATGTGGATATTTTCAGTTTTGTTTCGTATTATGCCTTTTAGATCTTCAAATTTGTTGCGCAGACTTCTAATGTTAATGTACAGTATGTTGAGTTTTATAAGTGAAAGGATGATTATTTTACTTAGTTTTAGCCAAATTTTTTTTTTTTTTTTTTTAGCACAGCAACAACAAATCCGTATCACTTCTTATCCTAGCTGGAGTGTCATTTTCAGTTTTTTTAACAAAAATCTTGCCATTCTTTATAAAGGCTGCATTGATGTGTTTATTTCTTTTCAAGTCTCTGGCCTTCCTAAATAGATCTTGATTAAAGCTTGTCAAATCGTCATTGAAAAATATGTTTTTATCAGGGCCCTTCAGCCCACATTTATTCAATTTAAGTCCTTTTGTTTGTCTGATTTTCTTGTAGATTTTTAATTTTGCTTTATAGCTGTTAAGTTTATTTAATATAGGAGCAGCCTCTTTATTTGAGATGATAGGATAGTTTTCTTTGATATCACTTTCAGTGATTTCAACTTTCAGTGCTTTAATTACTTTATTTATGACCTGTTTTGTTTCTTCGGTATACCAACAACTATCACATTATTTTCTTTATCTTTCTGTTCACGGGCATTCTGTTTATCTTCTAGGGCTTTGACTTTGATCTTCAAACTGTGATTTTCATCCTTCAGCTTCTTCATTTCGCTAAACATCTTCTCAATGGCAGACTTTTGATCCTCGAAGCTATCCGACACAAACTGGATGGATTTCTTGATTTCCCCCATTTCTTCGTGTAGGGTTTCCTTCAGAAGATTTAGATACTCTTTAAACACCTCCCGCACTAGTTCTTTAATCCTCTTTTCTTCCATTTCATTAAATTCGATGTTTTTTTCACAACTAACCTCACTTTTGGTGTTTGTTTTGCAACAGTTTA